ATGAGTTTTGCGAAGCAGAAAAAAGGAAAATATTCGCTTTGTGAAAGATAATAGTACAAGGAAAAACTCTCAAAAAAATTTGACAGGTTAGCAAACTACATTTATTACATAGAAATTGGTTTATAAACAAGTTTTTTTAAAGAATTAGTACCGAAACGACAGCGAAAAAAACATGTTCATTGAGAATATAAATTGTTAATCAGAAAAATTTGCAACGAAAGACAAATGAATTTGCAGTCAACAAGCACTTACTATACTACCAAACATCTGTATAATATATCTGAGCTTTTCTGTGAGATATACCGTTTCTAAAACCATTTCTTTCACTTCGTATATATATATATATACATATATATATATATATATATATATATATATATATATATATATATATATATATATATATATATATATATATATATATATATATATATATATATATATATATATATATATATAACCAACAATGAGATGATGGATGTGGGACACATAAATTATATGTGCGACAAGAACGCCATTCAACCTAATACGCATGATCTCTGCATGTCACATGTCGTGAAAAGCTCATTATCAGCTACACTGCGCTGACGAACCCCAAAAGGGCGAAACAGCTGTTCGCAGTTGCTGGTAGTGAGCTTGGGACACAATTGCATGCCTATAGGCCTTTGCGCTGATTTAAATTAAAGTTAAAAAAAAGTTACCCTGTTTGATTTATTTTAACTTAAAAACTATAAAAGCTATTACACCTAAACCATGCATGTGCATTGCGCATGCATTTAGCCGGTAATGCCTAACTTAAATTTTGATATACGCCCGGTGCATTTTCGTGCAATATTGACCGAGATAGCTGCGTTAAAACTTTTGGGAAGTGTCAAGAATTAGCTAAAAACGGCCTGTTAAACTAATTTGATAACCGTTACCGTTTTATCGTATAAGTATATATATTCGTTTCAATGAACGAAGTGAAGTTTAAATTAAAAATGTCTATTGGACGGATGTGCTCTTTTATTTTTGTTTTAAGGTCTTTGGGAATGCATGAAAATTAACTTATGAAGCGATTTTGATTAAAATGGGAATCAAATTCTAATGTTCCAACTGAAAGAAACTTCGCATGATTTTTAATAAATACGCCTCGTTTAACGAAGGACCAAGGAGTTTCGATATGTTTAGAATAATGCAAGGGTAAATAATGCTCGTGAGGTTATACCGGCGGCGTTGGTCAGGTCTCTGAAAACGAACGTGTACTTTCTGACTATAGTGTGTCTAAACACAGGTTATTGCTATATTAATATTTGATAGGCTGTTTTTGGCTAATTCTCGACACTTTCAAAAATGGTTACTCAAGTGTAAACGCAGCTCTCTCGGTCAATATTGCACGAAAATGCACAGGGCGTATATCAAAATTTAAGTTAGACAATATTGAATGCAATGCATGTAGATAGACACCACCTGATGATTCCTCATGGATGAAACAAGCTGTTGTAGCAACCTCTTCAGGTAAAAAATTGCATATCTGCTCTATCTATATGATATCGATAACTCTTTTATTAGTATTTTGTAAACCAAAACACAAAACTGTACGAAACGTACAGCTCCGACTAAGCAATACCCATCATACCTTGCAATACCCATCATCCTTTGTACTTAAAGGCCCATCATATACTATTTTGTAATGCGGCGATATTGTTTGTGTTTGTGTTTGTGTTTGTGTGTTCATACACTAAGTCTGTGTGATATAATATATATGCATGTTGCAAGCTTGGTGTAAAGTAAAGACGTTCCTCAAGCTTTGTATTCAGAAAATATCTGAACTCTCCATGATGCGTGATGTGATGATTGTAATCACGTCTTGACTGTGAGTGTCTTCACCGCTCAACCTCACGAATAATAATGCATGGGAGTTTCCTCCAAGATACAGGCGTTGGCGGTCAACCATATCGATGCCAAAGTTATGAAAATACATATAATATTTATGTTTCTTGTCGCTTGGAAAAAGTTTAATAAAATATATAAGTATTCTAAAATTGTTCACAATTATGCTGACAACGTGTATTGTAATTTATTAAAACGATAACTATTACATGCATTGCAAATTTATTCGCAATAATGTTTTCCTCAAAAACGTTTTCACAAAATTATGCAATATGATTTATTTTCATGCTCACCAGCTGATCGACATTTGAAACTCAATGACACTGTTTTGAATATTTGATATCAATGCTAAATATAAACTTTGTATTGGAAACAGCATGCACTGATGCATCCAGTGCAGTTATGTAATTGAAATGACGTACACTGCAAATGCAATGTACCGACGTACTAGTCCACGCTGAAAATAAAACAGTGGGAAATTTCTTATTTTTTCACGGCATCAATTCAGCGCCTATATTATAATGTTTGCCTGCAAGGTTGGTGAATTAACTATTCACAATAACGTATATAGAGTGCCTTGTTATTCATTTTTCTTCATATAACTTACGTTGAATAGGAGAGTAAGTGTATCGTGCCAGAGATACAATTTGTTACTCCTCATATTGCATGTTGTTCGGTATAGTGAAATTTCCCATCATAACCATGACATTGGCATTGCGTTAAAAATTGATGTGCATATAAATCGGTCAACCGGCATATCGCTGATATGAGACAAACGGAACGGAACACGTTTAATTAAAACTGCTACCATGTTTACGTATTTAGTTTAATTAAACAAGCTAGCATTAGCAAGATCCCGGTTAACAGTTAAACAACCGAAACACTGACTTTCTCAATTTTATATCTCAATCACGCGAATCGAAGCCGATATGATAATTGCAGAGCTGGAAGGCGCGTCGTTAATCATTATGCAAGTGGTTTGTCGCTTTGGGCAACTCTTCGCAGTAAGTTAAGTGTAATAATTCTCAAAAATTAGCGAATTATTGGTACATATAATGAATAGATATCTGATGGAATTCACTGTAGCGGTGTTTATAAACAGGGTTCGTGTCAATCAATCATACGACATGTATAGTAGGGTTTATGCGGAAAAATCGCGAGCTTATAGTCTATAGAGGGACAAAAATATGCCTAATCAAATAATCGATTGGAGTACGTTGTCATTTAGAAGTAATAAACACCTTGAATAATTTAAGATATATGCAGATTAAGATATATATATATATATATATATATATATATATATATATATATATATATATATATATATATATATATATATATATATATATATATATATATATATATATATATATATATATATATATATATATATATATATATATATATATATACATATATATATATATATATATATATATATATATATATATATACAGCTAATTCAATAAAGGTTGTCCTTTGCAAACCTTAAACTCTAAAACCTTAAACCTTAAACTCTAAGCGCGCAAAGCATAATGGGAGCACTATTTAAGCAGTTTAGAAAGCATATATGGAGCCCATTTCTTAGAGACATATGGTAAACATATGCCTGCGAAAACATTTCACTCACAAACAACTGCAATATTCAACTACTATGCTTGATATTAGTACTCCCATTATGCTTTGCGCGCTTAGAGTTTAAGGTTTAAGGTTTAGAGTTTGAGGTTTGCAAAGGACATCCTTTTTTGAATTAGCTGTACATATATATATATATATATATGTATATATATATATATATATATATATATATATATATATATATATATATATATATATATATATATATATATATATATATATATATATATATATTCGGCGTTCTACGCCTCATCAGTGCAGCTTGGTACACGTCTAGATACGTGAGACATTCTTATTTATATGGGACAACACGATGATATCAACGCATCCAGACATGCGCACAGCGTAATGGGGCCAGAGTGCTCAATTGAATTTATCATAATAATAAATTCGCGGCACCTAACACTAACCCTAACCCCAACCCCTACCCTAACCACTAACCCCTAACCACTAACCCCTAACCCTAATTTTTTTAACTTTTTAAATTTTTTAAAATTTTTAAAAAATCTAACTTTTTAAACTTTTCTTGTTTTTCAAAACTCTTTTAAAACTTTTTAAAACTTTTTTAAAAACTATTTTTTTAAAAAATTTGAAAAACTTTATCATAATGATAAATTCGGACGTGTTTAAGAATTTACTCATATAGCAAATTCATAGGTGGAGCTCATGTCGGGGAATCGCGACTTTTCCGCTTTAGATAATTAGATAATTTATTTTGCACTTCTGTATTACATGGAATGATTATTATTTGTATAGTATATTTACCAAAAAAAATAAGTGCTGGCCTCCTGTTATTGACCATGAAGGCTAATCAAGACCGGTGGTCATTAATATATTACAATAGTATTATTTAAAGAGTGTCACAAGAAGGTGCAATCAAAGTTAAAAAGATTAGAGAGCAAAGTGCACAAAACACACAAAGTAAAAAAAAAACCCAACAGAACAACAGGAACAAAACAAAACAAAAATCAACACAAGACAAAAAAAAAGGAAAGAAAAAAAATATGATTGACTCATACACATATAGTAATTACACGGATAGCTAGTAGTAATCAATTAACTGTTGTTTTAATTTTTGTTTAAAAGAAGATTCGCTCAGAGATTTAATAGACTCATCAATATCATTCCAGGTCTTAGGGACCGGTCATTATTTATGGCGGGGGGTGGCACCGAAGAGAAAAAGGCTGGGTAATCAAAATTTTGAGTAAGTAAAAGGTTGGGTAAATGAAAAACAAAACAACTCAAGGGTTGGGTAATAAAATTTATTGTCATTTCCAAAGCATGACTCACTGAAATATTGGAGACTGAAAAGCAATGTCAACAGTCATTTGTCAATACAATACGTGAATCAATCAGAGTCACTATCTTGATCATTTTGACAAAACAAATGGTGTTTCCAAAGAAAGTGCTTGTGCAGACAACATGAAACTTTAGACTGCAAAAAATTTCACAAGCCGTTATCAAACTCATGTCATAGAAGTGGTAAAAGACATGTGTGACAACTGAATGGTATCCTTTTGTAGTTTTTGGCCAGGGGTGGGTAATTATTTTTCAATTTATATTCGAGGTTGGGTAATCAATTTTTTGTCTTTTTAATGGTTGGGTCAGCAAAATTTTTGCCGCGAAAAACATTTCTCTTCGGTGCCACCCCCCCCCCCCCATAAATAATGACCGGTCCCTTAAGGCCAATAAATCGTATATTGAACTTTCCATAGTTAGTGCGAGGTTGAGAAAGGGATAAGGATGATTTCGCAGAAAGCCTTGTATTATAATGATGCTTGGAACTAACTGGTGAAAAAGAGTTCATGAACTCATATGGAAGTTTGTTGTTGTTAAATTTATGCATAAATAATGTTGTATTAAGTAAGACAATATCAGAAAATTTTAGGAGCTTTGCTTGGGGACAACCTTAATTGCAATAGCTGTATACCTTTATATAGTTATAGCTTACAAATCTAGTTCTTCTGCGCAAGTCTAGTTCTTCAACGCTTCGGTTGTTGACATGTTATAAATATTCCAGGACTTTAAATAAGGCATATGTCATATATACCAAGAATAACAGCATGAATTCACGCCCAGATGACAGAAGAATATTAACATTGGTCAATACAACAAAAACAAGTAGCAAAAAATCGTAAACGACAACGAAATGAACGAAATATCACAACTTGCAAGAAATCGTACTTTGTTGCAAGAAATCGACCAAGAACTGCCAGGCGTCTCTCATTTCCAGTGCACTAGTGCTTCCCATCAGCTCCTTCGCCCATCTCTCCCCACTACAATACTTCATGTAAACTCGTCATATGCGCATCACTGTTTTTTTACAAAGAGACGCCTGGGTACGAGGCAGTTTGCCGAATACGCTAACGGCAAGCTCGCTAAAAGCTGTTGCAAAAAACTATTTTATATTGCTACTTTACGTAATGTAAGAATCGGGTGCCATATTCCAGTACGAATAGCCACTTTGTATAATAAAATATGTGGTATTTGGCTACTTACCAGATGCGGATAAGTTTCCATATTGCCATAGATAACTTTGGAATAATATCACAAGTAGAATGTTGAAAACAAGACAGCCAATTCAAGATAAAATCAAGATATTTTTGAAGCCAAAATATGGCAAAGAATATTAAACATAGACTCCTCCGCAGGCACGAGGCAAAACTACGCCCGTTCGCAGGTTAGGTGCGAGCACGATGTAAACAATTGATGTAAGCTAACCGCTGATTGGCTTAATTATATAAGCTCGTCGCTGAATGGCTATGGGTAACGTTAATACTAATCTGCTTCGCAGATACAAAAATAAAGATATACGCCGGCACTGTATTGATATATGTTCATACCTGCAAGTTTTTTTCATTATAAAAATGTATTTTCCCAATTTAGATTGGGTGGGTGGGTCATGAAATAAATTTGGATGGGCTTTGAAATTCTTATCTACATCCTAAGATGGGTCACCAAACTTATTGGCAAAATTTGTGATTTACCTCCAGCCCACCCTAGAAGTTACTTTCATGGCCAGTCCCTAACACATATTTCTGTTCTGTCTTTCGACCTGCCAAATCTACTGAGATCTCTTTGCCAACCTCTGCCTTGTTGTCCGATATTTCCCTCTCAGAAGGAGAAGTTGCAGATTATCTCTCGAACTTGGATCCATCTAAAGCTCCTGGTCCCGACAAGATTCCTGGCCAGTTCTTAAAGCAATGTAGTTCTGTCATGGGTCCGAGCCTTTGTTCACTGTTTAGTCACTCTCTGCAATCTGGAATTCTACCTTCTGAATGGAAATCTGCCAATGTTGCATCTGTTCATAAGAAAATAAGAAGGAACCTGCTACCAACTACCGACCTATATCCCTGCTTTCCATCATCAGCAAAGTCTTGGAGCGATGCGTTTGTCATCGATCATTTCTTTGAACATGTTCAGGATATGATTAATAAATCGCAACACGGATTCCTTCATGGTCGCTCATGTGTCACATAACTTGTAGCCACCTTACATCATATTGGACAATTGCTTGACAGTAACGTTCAGACAGACGTTCTTTTTCTTGACTTTGCTAAAGCCGTTATTGCGTTGATCATACTATTTTATTGAAGAAACCCAAATCTTACGGTATTTCAGGCAACATGTACAATTGGTTTACTGATTATTTGCGTGGTCGTACTCAGCGTGTCGTCGTCGATGGTGCAACTTCTGAATGGTCTCAAGTTACCTCCGGTGTCCCTCAGGTAGTATCTTAGGTCCTATGATGTTCCTTCTTTTTATCAATGACCTCCCTGACATCATTCCTCCATCAACATTAACCGGTCTGTACGCTGACGATACAAAGCAGTATCAAGCTGTATACAAAGCTGTATCACGCCCAAGCGTTGATCTCTGTTTTAATTGAATTATTTCACTACATTACACTAATATGTCATATAATAATAATAATAATACTCCTATAGTTGAACATATAATAACAACATATAAGTTGATTTGTATTTGTATGTTTTTTTATTTATTTAAGATCTATTATTAGCTTATATAAAAGCACCGCCTTTCAAACCTGACAGCCCGTTCGCAGGATACGCGCGTGGGAGACGCGCGGGACTTGAAATAGTAGGCGGCAACATATAAATACGTGACAAGGGATGAAACTCTTAAAGTTTATCGTATTATGAACGCCCCGACTTGATATAAACAAGAAAGCAAACTCTACTCTAGACTACAACTCGAGGTAAGAAGCCAACGATTTCAATGTTTAAAATTTAAAATGAACTACATTAGCCAAAGTACGAAACGTCGCTATTAAAAACTATAGCAATTTATAAGACTCTAGGGCTTTTATTTCACAAAATTTTTCAATGGCTATGTACTTTAGCCTTAGACATATCATGTAGCCGAATTTCAAGCTAAAATTCGTTTTAACAAGCACATACGGCTTCAACATAAAACATCGCCGTGTTGTAATTTCATCCCTTGTCTCGTTAGTTATTTCAGTGCGAAATAACGCGTGTATCCTGTGAACGGGCTGTCAGGTTCGAAAGGCGGTGCTTTTATATAAGCTAATATTAATAGATCTTAAATAAACTGAAAAACATACAAATACAAATCAACTTATATAGTTATATGTTGTTATTATATATTCGACTATAGGAGTATTATTATTATATGACATATTAGTGTAATGTAGTGTTACAATTCAATTCTTGGGCTCTCTGTGTATCAAGCAATAAGATCACGCCAGGATTGTGACCTTCTACAGGAATCATTGTCGCACGTTAACGATTGGAGCAAGCAATCCAAATTGACTTCAACTAGTCTAGGATCTGTATATGAGTTTGTATGCATTTCATTTAGGACAGATAATCTCAACTATTTTAGGGCAAGTTGACTATGACGGTCGACATGGTAACGCTGCCCGAACCCCAATCCGGGGCGAAACGTCCAAAACTGACCACACCCAAAAACGACACTTTCGCCATAGTGCTATCTACCAAACCATAAAAGCTTTGGCTATTCTGAGGTGCTTATATGGTTCAGAGATGATGCTTTTAGGGGTGGTCATTGGTAAGTGTGAAATGCCTAGCACTGATATTTCACAAGAAAATGACCATGCAATACTCATATAGTCAAACGTCAATTGTGACATACAAATTCAGATAAACAGCAGTGGACCTACGTTACCTTTTTTCCTAAATCTTTTTTATAGAAACATAATTGGTACTTATTTATGTATATTATCACTGCTTTGGTGTAAAACAGTTAATACTTTGTGACCGAAATAATAATTTGAAATGTACCTGCCTACTGGAAATGGACGTATTTGGCCAAAATTCTCCACTTTACTCCGCTGTTTATCGCTGATCTCGTTGAAATCCTTCCAAATATGTACGTCAGCTCAGACATAATGGTATCAAGCACATTTTAAATAAGTTTTAACTTGGAATCAAGTACCTCAACTTTGTCCAAATTCGGCGCAATTTTGTCATCCTATGTCGGTTGTCAACAATTTGGCCTTGTTATTCTTCCATCCAAGCCATTTCGATTGCACTAATAACAAATTTAACCCGATCGGCAAATTTAACCCGATTCAAGGATATCGGCGATAAACAGCGGAGTAAAGTGGAGAATTTGGCTAAATACGTCCATTTTCAGGAGGCAGGTACATTTCAAATTATTATTTCGATCACAAAGTATTGACTATTTTACACCAAAGCAGTGATAATATACATAAATAAGTACCAATTATGTTTCTATAAAAAAGATTTAGGAAAAAAGGTAATGTAGGTCCACTGCTGTTTATCTGAATTTGTAAGTCACAAATTGACGTTTGCATGACTATGAGTATTGCATGGTCATTTTCTTGGGAAATATCAGTGCTAGTTATTTCACACTTACCAATGACCACTCCTAAAAGCACCATCTCTGAACCATATAAGCACCTCAGAATAGCCAAAGCTTTTATGGTTTGATAGATAGCACTATGGCGAAAGCGTCATTTTTGGGTGTGGTCAGTTTTGGACGTTTCGTCCCGGATTGGGGTTCGGGCAGCGTTACCATGTCGACCGTCATGGTCAACTTGCCCTAAAACAGTTGAGATTATCTGTCCTAATGAAATGCATACAAACTCATATACAGGTCCTTGACTAAAGGCATCTAAGTGTAAAGTTCTAACAATATCCCGCCGAAAAAGCCCGATTGAAACAACGGTACCACCTTGGTTCAACTGAACTGGTGCGTGTGGATAGTGAGGTCGATCCTGGAATTACTGTGACAAGAAAGTTATCTTGGAATTCTACTTCGTCATTGGTTAGTTCGCTAAGGAGTCACGTGTGAGATAGCGCGGGAAGGATCGAGCGGCAGTTGCAAAGGATTCTTCGAGCGAACGTCAAGAACAAAAATTTTCCGCTTAAAAATTGAATAAAAATGGCAGAAGACACTTCGGATATGGAGAAAGAACTACTTAATGAAGAAGAACAAGATCAGACTGACGAAGACCTGTCTACGAACGAACGATATATGGAGTCGTTATCCAAAATGAATGATAATATTTCTGCACTAGGCGTATCGCTAAACAAACGAAAACATGAGAGCATTGTTTCTGATCAACCAAGCACAAACACGGCAGTATCTGCCAAAAAAGCTAAAACTAGCTCACTGTCTGAGTCTGTATCAGACAACGAATCTGACAGTGAAGCGTGCTGGGAGACGCGGAGCAGGGACATCACAATGGCAATGAGAACACCTCGAACGAGGACGAACAACAACCCGCCAATATGGCGGACGTAGATGATCCCTTGCTTGACGAAATCGCGCAGTCACTTGACGAAACTGAGTGAACGGGCGACCCCGTTTCGGATAAACTAGCATTGATTGCAAACAAACGCTGGAATCATAAATTAAGTGACGACCAGCTAAAAGAAAAGGCCGAAAAATACCCGCGACCAGCGAATTGCGACAAAGTTGTAAGCCCACGTGTAAACCCTGAAATATGGGCTAAATTGCCAAAGGCTGTTCGTGGCGAGGATCACAAGCTCTTTCGTGTACAAACCCAGCTTAGCACAGTCACTAACCTTGTAGTGCAAGCTACAGATATGCTGTTGAAAGCAAAATCTGACCCAAAAAGTCTACAAATTGATGACCTAGTGCGAATGAACACAGATGCTGTTGCTCTGGTCAGTCATGCTAGCCACGAGCTAGCTCAAAGAAGGCGCGAAATCATCAAACCTCACCTTCACAGGGATTGTATTGAGCTATGCTCACAAGAAGTTCCTGTGACAAGCCTACTGTTTGGAGACGACCTCCAAATAGAATTGACCCGCATTCGGGCAACATGTACAAACAAAATTGGAAATACAACAAATCCATATGCACGCGCCAAGTCAACGCCGGATTTACAAGCCAAATACGAGCAATTATGGTAACAAACAGCCTCCTTTTTTATGGCGAGGAGCCCAGTCGTACAGACGACTGGAGAACAACAACAGGCGGGGTCAGAACCGTGGTCAGAACCGAGTTCGTTTCGGGTCAATAAAGAAATAGACTCAGAATCTATTCACAAACTTTCACAAATACAGGTAAGCAAATACGAGTCTCTCGTGCCATCGCTTATTAAATACTTTGAACACAAGGTTGCCACTTTTAAGGCGGGCCAACTTAGTACTTCCTATCTTGCTTGGAAAGAATTGACATCTGATCCAGAAATTCTGGAGACAGTGTCTGGTCAACGTATAGAGTTTAACCAGAACCAAGTACAATTGAATTTACCTGTACAGCCAAATTACTCATGTCAACAAGGACAGTTTATTGATTCTGAAATCCAAACTTGTTGAAAAAAGGTGTCATTGTAGAATCTACGCATGAGCCTAATGAATACATTTCACCCATATTCCTTCGACCTAAGAAGGATGGATCACATCGCACGATTTTAAAACTAAAATGTTTAAACCAATCTGTTACGTACCAACATTTTAAAATGGACACAATCTGGACTGCTATACGTATGATGCGTCCGGGATGCTTTATGTCATCCATTGATCTTAAGGATGCATACTGCTCTGTCCCGATTCATAAAGACCATCAAAAATACCTGAAATTTCAATGGCGAGGGAAGCTATATCAGTATACATGTTTCCCAAATGGATTGGCAATTTTCCCTAGGAAGTTTACAAAGCTCCTTAAACCTGTTTTCTCAAACTTGAGAAGCATAGGTCATCTATCTGTAATATTCATAGATGATTCTTATTTACAAGGTGCTGACTTTAACCTGTGTGTTAAAAATGTGAAAGATACTATTACATTACTTGACCAAGTGGGTCTTTTATACACCCTGAGAAGTCAGTCCTATACCCTACTCAGAAACTTGTATTCCTAGGGTTTCTGTTAGACTCCATAAAAATGATTACCAGCTTGTCAAAAACTTCGACAATCTCCCCAACCTACAATACCGCAAGTGGCTAGAGTCATTGGGATGTTAACAGCTAGCTTCCCAGGAGTAATGTTTGGGCCATTACATTATAGACACCTAGATATGGATAAAACTGTGGCCCTGAAACTAAGAAAGGGCAATTATAATAAGACCATGACTCTTTCAGATGAGGCTAAGCACGAGCTGAGCTGGTGGGTAAGCTCAATCGAAAGTGCATACAATGTGGTTAGTCACGGACAAGCTGACACAACCATGACCACAGATGCCTCAAAAACGGGTTGGGCGGGTTGCTCCCTAGCTGGCACACCTACAGGTGGCTCATGGGACCCTGGGGGATCTGAGAAACACATTAACTGGCTGGAAGTTAAAGCCATATTACTCAGTCTAAAATAATTCGTAGATCATATTTGTCAGAAGCATATAAAAATCCTATCCGACAACACAACAGCAGTCTACTGTATAAATCATATGGGAACTAGTCACTCCAAGGAGATAAATCTCTTAGTTACGGAGATATGGGATTTTTCATTAAGAATAACATTTGGATTACTGTAGCACATATCCCAGGAAAACATAATGTCATTGCAGATTTTAAATCGAGGAGGGGTACCAATGATACTGAGTGGGCCTTAGACCAAACAGTGTATGATCAAGCAATCCAAGTACTGGATGTGACACCCAGTATTGATCTGTTTGCTTCAAGGCTAAACTATAAATCAGGGCCCGCGGAGCGTATATATTAGAGAGTGGGGGGGCTAAATCATCAATAAAACCCCCAATTAATTAATTTAGAAAGTTTCATTTAGATTTCTATTTTAATAATTTTGGCTGTCAAAAAAAGTGGGGGGGGCTAAAGCCCCCCCAGCCCCCCCGTCTCCGCGGTCCCTGTAAATGCAAGCCTTATGTTGCATTCAGACCTGACCATGAGGCTCAAGCCATAAATGCCTTTCATATCTCTTGGGTAAACATGTGCTTTTATGCATTCCCACCTTTTTGCATTATCAA